TGGCTCCACCGGGGGGGGGGGGTTTTGGAAAGGGGAGCGGTGCACTGGCAGGGGATTGGGGTTTTGGAAGGGGGGGTCACATGGGTGGGTGGGGGGCTTTGGGAGCAGGAGGAAGGTTGGGGGGTCCACTGCCCTGAGGGAGGGGGGTTTGGGGTGCCCGGGGGGCGATGGCCAGGAAAAGTTAGGAAGGGGCAGTGAGGGGCTCGCACTGGAGGGGACAGGATGGGGATGGGGATGGGGACAGGGACATGTCCTGCAACCCACAGATGCCAAGGAAAGACAGACAGACAGACAGATGATGACAGGGAGAGTCCCACCCTCTGCAGGGACATTTTTTCACCTCTGACATAAGGATAAATTAAACAATAATTAGCATTAAGGGATCGCTCTGCTTTGTCAAAATCTTGGAAAACAGTGATGGGAATAACACAGAGCCCTGAAGCTGCTGTGGGGCCATGTCCAGCTCTGGGGAGGACAGACTTTGGGGAGTCTGGACACGGAAAATCCAGTGGGATTTTTGTTCACAGGTGTGCCACCCAGCCACGTCCCTGAACAAGGACACCCCACGGTGCCAGAGCCACATCCCCAAGGCAGGACACCCCACGGTGTCACATCCCTGAGCAAGGACGCTCCTCTCGGGCTGTCCAGGGGAGCTCGTCCTTGCTGGACAGGACCTGCTCTGCTCCCAGAGTCCCTTAGGTCCCCCCAAGTTCCAAAAACTCTTTCAGAAGGGTGAGTGAACACAGAGAGACTCCTGACCCTCCTCCCCAGGGACCATGGAATGTCCCCCTGCGTGTCCTGGATTGTCTTCCCACGTGTATAGGTTCCCCCTGAGCCCCTCGGCGCCAGAGCTGGCTCCCACCAGAATTCCTCAGGTGCCTCCATATGCACAGACACTTCCAGTTGGATTCACAAAGCACCAAGGTGCCCATTAAGTCCATCAGGAGGAGCAGTTCCAGCACATCCCGCTGCCTGTCCTTCTGCTCAGCATCCAAATGTCCCTGTAAATCCATCTCCGTCTCACGAGCTCTTAGGAGTTTGTCCGTGCTAAAAGGGAGGGAGCGGCCCAGTGTAAAACACCTCCAGCGCCACACGGAGCGGTGGGATATAAATAAAATATGGATCCTCCTCATTATTTATTTAGCAAATCTGTTTAGGAAAAACTCCACGGACTGTGGGGCTCAGCATCCCTCCTCCCACCCCAAACCAAAACAAATAAAAACCGAATTATTTTGGAATAATGCTGCCGGAGCATCCTTCCGCGCCGCAGCTCCATCAAGGTTATCCATCTCCTCATCCTGCTCCCATCAGGATCCGTCTCCATCAAGCCCCCGACAGCCAATCTCCCTCCTGTCAGCGGACGCTGCCATAAACCCGGACACTTGTCTGTCAACTTCATTTGTTTCCATTTCTCCAGCCAAGCCACTAAAAGCCTTTCTGGGCCCTACAGGAGGCCCGGCCGTGGTTCCCATGGTTCCTCCCAGCTCGGGGACAGCAGAGTGAGCTCTGGCAGAGCCACATTCCAGGGCCAGCTCCAGGGACGGGTCCAGGGTCGTGGCAAAATCCGTAGCTGCCACCCCACAGAGCAATCCTGGCAGTGTCAGTGGCTTGGGGAAGGGGGATGATCCAAAGGGCACCGTGCTGGCCAAGGGCTCGGCCATGCCTTGTGGTGCCAGGTCACCGATGGGCACTCGCCAGATGGAGATTCCCAGTTCATCCCAGCTCAGCCCAGCTCAGCTCAGTGCATCCCAGTTTAGCTGAGTTCAACCCCATGCACCCCAGCTCAGCCCAGTGCATCCCAGCTCGGCCCAGTGCATCCCAGCTCAGCCCAGTGCATCCCAGCTCCGCCCAGTGCATCCCAGCTCGGCCCAGTTCATCCCAGCTCAGCCCAGTGCATCCCAGCTCGGCCCAGTGCATCCCAGCTCAGTTCCACAGGAGCTGTGGGGGATCCCAGATGAAATTCCCTGGAAAACGGGATGATCCATTGGGATCAGGCAGGAGCAGCCCCACACCAGCTCCAGTGCGTTCCCTCCCAGCCCAGATCAGTCCCAACCTGAGGGAGAGCCCAACCCTGCTTTGCATGGAAGGACTTCTCCTTCCCCACTCCTGGTAAACGGGAAGGAAAACCTTTTCCAGGATTTTTCTGGCTTCTCCAAACAGCACCAGGTTGTTTTTCTAACCAAAGAAAACCAACTATTTGCCTTAATTACTGTAAATCCTGCAATTTCCAGCCCCCAGCTCCATGCAGGGGGCAAGGCTGGATGCAGGGAGGGATAATTCACACCCGCCTTCCTCTGCATTAATTGGATCGGCCAGGAAATTATGGAAAATATTTGCTACTGATAGAAAAACCCTTCCTATTAAAAAGGTGAGGAGTTGCAGGGAAAGGGCCGGGAAGCACCGAGAAGCAGAGCAGAGCCAGGCTGCTGGGAATGGAGCTGCAACAGGAAAAAAAGGGGCCTGGGCAGGTCCCTGAACTTCCTGAACTGGAAGGGATTAGTGTGATGGGAAACCCCAGCTGGCAGCAGGATCCAGATGCCCGGCATGGACATAAGAGGGTGGTGCTGATGCCCCCAGCCAAGGGATCCTTGGCATTGTGTGGCACCCACAGGCACCAGCCCCCATCCATGGACTCTGATCCCATCCAAAGGCATCAACCCCCAAAGGTCAGGGAGGGGCCCATCCCTGGCTGGAGGGGCTGGGGGGCAGCGCTGGGGACACCCATCCGTGTGGCCGGACTGTGGCACAGCTCTGGCTCCCAGGTTTTGCTCCCTGGATCCTCCCACGTTCCTTGAGCTCCCAGTTTATTCAGGATACCAAGGAAGCTGCCACAGACATGGAAAACCGCAAAACCCCACAATCATACCCCAAATGTGGGTGCACCGGGAGCTCCTGCGTGGCCCCCGGGATCTCGGGCAGTGTCTCCCTTCCAGGGGGGTGGAAGAGAGCCACAGCCTGCGGCTCAGGTGGGAATCCGGGAACACCCAAACCCCTCCCGCAGCCTGGGCACGGACACGCCTCGCCCGGGGCCGTTCACACCTTCCCGCAGCAGCACCGGGCGCGTTCTGCCGCCTCATCTGATGCTCGTTAAAACACCCAGCCCCAAATTCCAGCTGCGGATAAATCCTTCCCACGCCGGAGCCGTGCTGTCACGAGAGAGAGCCGCTCCCCTCGGCTCGGTGGCATTTGGTGACCGCTGTCCCTCGTCCATCGGGGACGGTGGCACCGCAGCGCCCGCTCCCAGCAGTGTCCGCAGAGCAATTTCCCAGCAGGAATTAACCCACAGTCCCCTGGCGAAGGGGGCGGGAACGGCGCAGGGTGGCACCTGCATACCAGCGCAGCCGACACCTGGAAAACCAGCCGGGAAACCGTCAAGGGCCAAAATCCTGCGGTTTCGGCCCAAAGCTGAGGCGGCGGCGGCGGCGGCGGAGCGGCAGCACCGCATTGCTTAGGCAATACCCCCCTCTAGTGCCGGTGCCCCTCGCGGCCCCCCGGGGCTGTCACCGCGCACCCCCGGTGGCCGCTAATGCGACACAGCCCCGACCCCTGCTCGGATTGGGGAAAACACCCGGCAAAACAAAGCCCCCCACAGATCGCAGCTCCATAGCCCCCCCCAGTCCCGCAGCCCCTCTGGGGACAAGCAGCCGAACAGCCGGGAGTTTTGGGGGGGGGTCTTCAGCCCCTCACCCCTCTGGGGTCCCTGCACAGAGCATTCCCAGAACCCCATTAACGGCGCTAAAGGGACACAACGCAGGGTCACGGCCACCGCGTCCCTCTCCCACGGCCACCGTGTCCCTCTCCCACGGCCACCGGCCCCGCACGCCGGCCTGAAGCCCCGGCCCCGCGGCCCCCGCTGCCATCCGGCTGCGCTCCGGGAGCTTTTGAATATGGAAAGCGCAGGGGAAAAGCGTTTTCTGTTCGGCCAAAACCCACCCAAGTGGAATGGGGAGGGGCGGGGGGAGGGAGGGCAGCCCGAGGAGTTAATCCACTTTGAATTGCAGCGGCTCCAGCCCGCGCTCCGGGTTGACAGCTTGACAGAGACGGATTGGCAGCTCCCGAGGTGAGACATCCCGGCCGAGCCACGGAGCCGCAGGAAAACCCGGCTTGGAGGTGGCAGGTTCCACCGTGTGATTTTCCATAAGGGGGGGGGAAAAATATAAATTAAATAAATAAAAGTGAGAAGGAAGAGAGAGCAGGGAGCTGGAACGGGCCCT